GCATCCTTGTATCCCAAGAAAACTACCTGCCAATTACTAACCAACGTCCAACGGCCAATGAACCAATGTACCGCTCTCATTTTTTTAAGGTATATATATTCAGATTTTAGGATAACTTCTTGTCGCACTTCTAAATACATGTCGTGATTGCAGCAAAAAGTCAAAATAATTGTTCCTTAAGGCACTAAACTTATGATTGTTGTACTAATAAACTCACTTGTATAAGATAATTAGCATGCCATAAAAGGAGATTAGAAATGATCACATGAAACTATTGAAGCAAACAACCCACGCCTAGTTAGTGCACCCAACTATTGAACAAGAAGTCCACGCTCTCTAATACAAATGAATTAAGCTATAATTTTAATTATTTTTCCTCATACATAACTACATCAATACCTCCAAATCATATGCACTGTTCATAAAAGTATGCCTAAGCACCTTTTGTTCATGGTTTATTTTGTTGTTTTTCTTTTTTTCCCTTGTTAGTTTGTTTTGAAAGAACGTCAGTAAACTACTCAAATATATGTACAAATCAGAATTTAAAATAAATCGTCTATGGTCAGGTTTTGTAAGCTTACTGGTATCAAGTATTTACCATACTCACCTCATAGTTCAAATTCTTCTTTTTCGAATTAGCATTCATTGAGATGTAAGCATTACTCTTATTTATTTATTTACACAAAATAAGATACTTAAACGATATTTTTATAACGAGATAAGACAAGTTAGACAACAAAGCTGTAGACCACCATAATGAGAGACCATGCGTTCACGATTGGTATCCATTACTCTTCACAAATTTATATCGTCTTCACGTCCATGTGACTCCAACTTGCAACCATTGACAACCAGATGAAAACAACTTTCATATATCAAAGCTAATCATTACTCACGCAACTTAGAGTGCTTAATGTTAATGGAAGATTTTAGTCATAATTTTATAGATTCACCTGCATCATTCATCTTATGTCAATCATCTTAGAACTTATTTATCACGCGTTAAACTTGTGGACGCTACTTGTCCAATAAGTTTCGGAATATACACACTAGGGAATACGACCATTAAAGTGACTAAGTTGCATATATATCCACAACATTGATACGCAAATTAAATAATTAATAAGAAAAGAGAGTAAATGGGGAATTAGGATTGAGGGGGTGACCTGACCTGACCTGAGCAGAAGGGGAGGGCCATAGAGAAAAGGCTGTGGGAGCCAAGGCCGGCGGTGTACAAGGAGGCAGAGCCAGTGGGGTTGAAGCTGGCGTATGTTTGCATGCATGCAGATATATTAAATAACCTCTTTGCCCGCACTTCTGCGTATGTGAAATGTCTTTTTTTAATCACAGCAAGCTACGTGTATGCGAGTTATAGTTTTTTAGTTCATTAATCAATGCCATCATTCATATGTACAAATATTAATTGATTGAAATTATGGTAGTTTTGGATTCAATCTTAACCATCTTGTTTAAACAATGGTTGAGATTGAGAAAAATTCTAACTTATATACAATACACAATGAAATACACAATGAACGACATGTAATGCTAGAGGAATGTCTTTCCCTTTTTTTTCTTTTTTTTTCTCAACGGTTTACTAAAATCCAATAAAAAATCAAATCAAATCAAATCAAAGAGGAACCGTATCAAACAATGAAAAAAAAAATATAAGAAGAAATACAAACGGTTATTGTTTCCTCACTTGCTCCAAAACCCCCAACTGGAATGCATGCAGGCCAAACAACAAGAGACTCGGGGCCACGTACTGAAAGATATCTTTATTACTTCGGACTTATGCATGCAGATGTTTGTTCCGAGTTGTTTATTTTTTTAGGGAAGCCGGATGTTCGACCGTATTTTTCAAGACTTATCAGAATTCGTTGAGAATGAATCCTACATACATTAATAGAAGAAGTGATCTTGCATAGGTTTATAAGTAAGTTGGACTACTCTCTATATTGTCAATTGGTTTTGTGGTAGAACCTCAACTTAATTCTTTCATAGTATCATAGTAAGTTGTGTCACGTGAAACCTGACAGCCACACTGCTAGCTCCACGTCATCCCAATATGTTGTCCACGTGTTACCTTGAAAATTCGTCACATGTGAGGGGTGTGTTACGAATGAATCTCACAATGATATGGAATGGACCTTGAATAGACATATAAGTAAACTGAACTACTTTCTATATTGTCAATTAATTTTATAATGAAACTTCATATCAATCAGGGTTTATTCCAGAAAGGAATAAACTTTATATATAGCCCAATAAATATCGGAACAAATAAATGAAATAATGCTACACCAGTTTAGGGTTTTATATTTCTTAACCATAACTAACATCCTTAAAGGTTGGTAACATACTACATGAGTATACTAATATAATGTTTTGTGTTAATAAATTAAAACATGTGTAAACTTGTTTGACGAACACAAGACGGTATGTGCTAGTGTAACGGTTTTATGTAAATATTTTCTTTATATGGCATAATAAATAGGGACACGTGGTGCTGACGAAGCTTATCCTTGATTATAAACCATTTATACTCAACGTGGGTTGAATTGTGAAAGTTATATATCCTTTTGGGTAGGTACGTGTATATGATACTTTATGGTTGGACCCATGAAAAACTGAACACCTCAGATTTACATGTGACCACATCAGCGTTGAAATTAATACGTGACCAACTTCATCTCCTCCTTGGGAGGCCTCCATTGGCCTCCATATGCACAACATAAAAACCATCACCTGTCTTGCCGGCCAAACACTACTAGAAAATGTGCTATAGGACACCGATTTGAGGATACTATTCTCTATTGAGTAAACTATTGATTTACCCTCTAAACTTTCACCTAACTTTTGATTTCCTCCCTGAACTTTTCTATTGGAAAATTAAGGACTCAAACTAATTTTTTTAGCAGATTTGCCCCCTACCGTTAGTTTTTCATATATTCCATCATATTTCTGTTAAGTGAAATCATGTGCATAACATGTGAGTATAGTTAAGTCACTTCACTCTTAAAAATGATTAAAAAACTGAAAATAAATATAAAAAAAAAAAAAATTCCCTCTATTTTTCCTACTAATTCCCATCCTCAATTTTATTTTTCCCTCTCATTCTTATGCATGAGAAATGACATATGGTGTTATTATCTTCATAAGTACCTAAGTTAATCTTTTTCTTGAAGCATGTACTACAAATGTAGCTAAGTTATATACCTTATGGATGGTAAAATCTCTTACGTTTTCCAACTTCTTAAGGATTATTTTGTGGAATTGTATTGAGATTATTATGACATTATGAAAATTATGTAATTATCTTGAGCATTTTTTATGAGTATTATGAACATGTTTCTTATATTAATGCACTGTTTTGGAGACAGTAACACCATGAGCATTTATCAAATTATTAATTTGTTAGAGAAAATAAAAATGGTAGTAGATGCTTCAAGAAAAAGACTAACTTAGCTACTTATGAAGACAATAACACCATATGTCATTTCTCATGCATAGGAATGAGAGGGAAAAATAAATTTGAGGATAGGAATTAATGTGAAAAAATAGAGGGAAAGTTTTGTTTTTTTTATTATTTATTTTCAGTTTTTTAATCATTTTTAAGAGTGAAATGACTTAACTACACTCACATGTTGTGCACATAGCCTCACTTAACAAAAATATGGATGAACCATATGAAAAACTAAAGGTAGGGGGCAAATCGGCTAAAAGAAATTAGTTTGAGTCATTAATTTTCCAATAGAAAAGTTCAGGGGGGAAATCGAAAGTTAGATGAAAGTTCATAGGGTAAATCGACAGTTTACTCTTCTCTATTAGTGGCTTTGTAAATGTATGTGTCACTATCGTTTAAATTTGGTGCCTTAAACCTTTTCAACACTATTCATTAGTGTCAACTGTAAAAATTTTGACACCAAAGTCATATTGTTTTGTTTTTTAACTTAGGATTCAGTTTTGCTTTCCATTTTTTTTTTGTCAAAAATAGTTTTATATTTATTTAATAGTATTATTCCACATATATTTTCACATCCATATAAAACACAAAGTTATCAAACCCTAAAAGATATTTTCAACATCCGCTGATATTCATATTTCACTCAATTCACCACCGACAACCCAAAACAACCATGGCATTTGCCGATCTTATCTCCCACTCTTCGCTCTCTCTAGAACGCGACAACAACAAAATTTACCTCAACCCTAATTTTTAACCAGCCGTTCTCTCTCTATCTCTCTCTCCTTCTTGCACTCAACCCCTCTTCTCCTTCCCCTAGCTTCCTTACCTTTTCGATGGTAAAGCTTTCTTGGGTCCTCGCTTTTACGTCTTAAATTTCAGGTAGACAGGCTATGGGCCAATTCTAACACTTCCTCGTACGTGAGACCCCATTTTATCGGTCACATGTAAAGTTCCACACATCGGCAACCACATGACCAGAAGGAAGACCGCGTACATTAATTGTCACAGAGTTTGAACTCGACATCGATGGTCGTCGAGATCGAGATTACGAGAAGCTCAAAAGAGATTTTATTGAACAGGAGCGAAGGCTTTTGGATGAACCCCTTATTTTTACAATGTCAACTCATCACAGCAACCCCAACTCCACAACTCTAAAAATTCCTTTCTATTTGATCTCAATTCACTCCCACTTATTCTTTCTCTACTTCTTCCAGATTTATCTCCTCTCTCACTGCCGACAACCCAAAATAACCATGGCATTTGCCGATCTTATCTCCCACTCTTCGCTCTCTCTAGAACGCGACAACAACAAAATTTACTTCAACCCTAATTTTTAACCAGCCGTTCTCTCTATCTCTCTCTCCTTCTTGCACTCAACCCCTCTCCTCCTCCCCCTAGCTTCCTTACCTTTTTGATGGTAAAGCTTTCTTGGGTCCTCGCTTTTACATCTTAAATTTCAGGTAGACAGGCTATGGGCCAATTCTAACACTTCCTCGTACGTGAGACCCCATTTTATCGGTCACAGCTTTCTTGGGTCCTCGCTTTTACATCTTAAATTTCAGGTAGACAGGCTATGGGCCAATTCTAACACTTCCTCGTACGTGAGACCCCATTTTATCGGTCACATGTGAAGTTCCACACATCGGCAACCACATGGAGCCAAAAAGAGAAGTAGACTATCAAAAGCGGATTTAAGGCTAGCTTCTTCCTGAGTTCTAGTTCAGTTCCTCGGATTGAGATAGAGAGCCTACCGAGCTAAGGCTTTTCCAAGTTCTGATACCATTTTAAATTTCAGGTAGGCGGGCCATGAGTTCACTCAAACAACACCGATATTGTCCCCACTTAGCCACCTGCTCAATCTATTAGGTATGGAGTTTTAATACAAAAGGTCTTGATGTTAGTTAGAGTAATGTAATTCTATTTAAAGGGTTTGTTCTCAAGCCTTCTGACCGATGTGGGATAGAGGAATTCTAACAATACGTGTCGTATGGCTTAGGGATCTACATTCTCAACGTCCTTATTGGATTTCTTTATCCTCAGGTCGACCTGGAGATCCACAACCTCTCCTCATTGACGTCTCAGACGTGGACGGTTCACTCGTCAGCTCGTTTGCCGAGGACAACATGTTTTCAATTTCAGGTCCCTTTCAATTTTATGAATTTTTTTCTCGATTTTTTAGATTTTTTTTCCCTTTCAATCTAAGAAATTTCAATCGGTTTCAATTCAAAATCTCCGGTTATAGGTCCCTTTATTGCCCTCTGCTCCGCACACGTCAATGACCTCGCCCATCGAGCCCAAACTCGTACGTATTGTCGATCTTCATACCTCAACCCTGCCGACTCGCCTAAACTTGTAATCTCTCCGCCACTTCTGGCTCTCGGAGTCTGCAACTCAGGTGATTTTCCTCATGGGGTTTGCCTGTGTTCAATTGTGTTTTCTCGGTTTTGTCTGATTTGGTGATTTCTAGGTTTGAATATGAGATTTTGCTAATTGGGTTTTGTTCTCTTGGTTATTGAGTTGGGTTTTGTCTCTGTTCAATTGGATTTCGATTAATTTTTCTACAATTTGGTATTTGAGTTTGATAAATTTAACTTATATGAAGGTGTCAGCTTTATTAGATTGTGTGTCGTCTTGAATCCAGGTGATAAAGACCATTGAAAACAATGGCTGTCAAAACAGAAAATTTGTGGCTGCCTAATAATGCCATGAATTTGTCAGGTTAAAATTCAAGAACGGTTATCTTATTATTTCCCGCTGGGTTTTGTTTTTGTTGATTTATACATTACCTCTTTAAGTAATTTCCTCTTTAAATTTATTTAGCGTTCTTAGTTTCTCTTCTTTCATTGTTGTGCATTTGAGGGATAAGAGAATTGCACAGGTTTGTGGCTGAAGGTAAAATTCCTTTTTAATTTTCAATTTTTTTATTGCACATACTTTTTGCTTAAGTGACCCTAGTGTTTAACTCTTATCCGTAATTTTAGTTGCTGTATATTTTTTTCCTTACTCTTTTTTGTTGGGTAAGGATATTATATATGATACTAGCATTTGGCTACACATTTTGTGTGTATGAGCATATTTTTTTAGAAAATGAGGTGGAGAGAGGGAGAGAGAGAACGTGAGGGGAGTGAGAGGTTTTCTTTTTTTTTTTTTTTTTTTTTTTTAATGATGGATGTATTTTAACATCACATGTAGATGAGGTTTTGAAAAAAAAAAAAAAACAAAATTTGGTTGTGTGAAATTACTTTTCTACCCCATATTTCTTATTCATATTATGTTTTAATTAAAGGGTTAAAGTGGTAATTTTATAAGATTTTGGTTGATAATGAGTATTTTATTAATTAGAAGAAATTAGTAGAGATTAGGTGGGCAATATGAGGACCAGTTGGTGGGACGATTGTTTTGTCCTTATTGTATAGCTTGTGAAGCAAAAAAAAACCTGACCATGATAAAATTACTTAACAAATTTATCTTATTACTTGTTTTCAGAGCCACCAAGTCTATCTATATTCACCAAGTCCATCTCTATTTTTAGTGCCTGGTTTCCAAAGGCAAAGTTGAGCCAAGTTGGGAACTCTCTCTTTCTCTCTTTACCTTTTGTTTTATTTCTCAAGGAAGTTGATTGGGTTGAACAAAAAGGAATAAAAAGAAATGAAAACAAATTGAAATTTGATGGTGCTTGTGTTGATGTTGAATTTGTAATATATATATATATATATATATATATATTAAGACCCAAAAATTAGATAAATGGTTCACTTTGATGTAAATTGATAACATCAAGCCACTAGTTCAAAACAGTGAGTCTTACCTTTAGAATGTTTTTGTGATGTCATAATTGATAACCATATCTTTTGATCGAAAATTTATCTACTCGCAAGTATATCGCTTGTGAAATGTTGAGACTCATAAATTTATCTGCTGAAAAATTGATCTACTTGCCACTTCAATTTTTCGTGTGGAAAGTTAGAGAGTTGTACGTGCAAGTATATGCTTTTTATGCAGGTTGTAGGAAACAATAAAACTGTAAAGGCATACTTTTGTGTATATTTTAGTCATTTGATCCATGTGCTTATGTGTTTGCAGGTAGAGATAGCAATTACTGAGGCTCAAGCATTACCAAGAGCATGTCACTCTTAAAAAACATGTTTGGAGGTGTTCAAGAAAATGTGAAGTCTTTTACGTGGCAATTTCCTTCAAATTTGGTGTCTGTTTCATACTTTGACGGATAGTTTCATATTTTTTAGTATAGTTCATTGGTTTTAGACCTGATGTTTTTTAATATGTGATTAGTTATGGAAGACTACAGCAAACATGCAATTTTGTGTAGTCTATTAACTGTATGGGTGCCCAGATTAATGGGCCCTTTAAAAAAAAAAACATATTACAATATGAACACCGATGTATAAAAATTATATAATATTTCAAAGGTGTAATTATTCATTGTACCACCATTATCTAATTGGTGGTGATTGTAGCAATAGAGACTTCTATATAGGACATGGACTTCTATTTAGTGGCTGTTTGGTAGTAATTGGGGTTTGCCACCAATATCAGTGCCCATTCTTTATAATAGACACCAATGAAAAGGGCCAAAATTCTAGTAGTGAAAATTGCGATAATTTGTTTGTAGAAAGGCATCAAGGAGAATCACTTTCACTGGCACCAACCATTTGAGCATTTGACTTGTTCTCGTTAGCAGTGGCGGACAAATGGTTGGAGCCAGTGAGGACTATTTGCCTATTATTTGTTTTTTCTTGAGGGCTATTAGAATTTCTATCCACCGGACTATATATATTAGTATTCTTGTCCACGTAAAAAAAATGTGAAATTAATCAGAGCTTACCATTTGAGGCACGGGGTTTTTTGGTAGGAGACGTAGAGGCATGGTAGTCACAATTCCGTGACCTTAGGGATGCGAAGTCAAACCCACCAATTGGCGAATGGTACATTGTGGCCCAAAGGAGTAAAAGAAACCCTAGGGTTTTCTGTATAAATTAATATATGTGTCTGAAGTGGCTCCATCAGGTGCTGCTGACAGTGAAAGGTGGTTAGAAACTTAAAGCAACCAACTTGAAACTACGTACGTACAATGGTCTTACCCTAAAGTCATTACGGACCTTAATTATTGGAGAACTGCTCCACGAAACAAGGAGACGTAGTCTATTACATACAGCTTCTTGTCATGTTTGTTGATAAACTACTGCGCCTTGAACCAGCTAATCATACGGTCCACAATGTACGTAGAGAGACAAATGTGATAAGTGATAAGTGACGGATAGAGTCTGGACTTTGGAGGTTTAGAACTGATAATCTCATGTAATTATAGTCGGAGCTGTTTGATACCATCTTGGACAAAATCCCAAAAACTTTAAGCTATCAGCATCATCACTAAACCGGAAAATGTTCATCGAACACCAGCAAACTATCAGATTTTCAGTAACAAATACCTATCCTACAAAAGCAATTTAATTACGGAAATGGTACCATGTTAAGATTGAAGAAATGAGAGAGAGAAGATTGAATTTCATTGACCAAGTTTTCTGAAAATCATGGAGTCGTTGATAGTGCTACAGTACTCAAAACTTAAACAATCTAACAGCCTTGCTTAACGAACTCTATGACTTGTCATAATCTCATCAATATTTTTTGTTATGAGGGTTAACAGATGAACGATTAATTAGGGATGGATTTTAGTTGGGAAGAAGAAAGGTGGGGATAAATTTCTTCTTGGTCTTGTTTTTTTAATGTCTTTTTACTCTTATCACATTTTTACAGTGGTAATGCTAAAGAAACTAAATTTAGTGACAAAATTTTGTAAATTAAATGCCATGGAAGTTGATGATTGATTTATTACTTAGCCGTTAATAAATGTGCTAATTCCTATTGATAATATATTATTTAATTTGTAAATTTTATCTTTAAATTTTGTTTTTCCAAACATTACCCTTTTGGACTATATTTGCATCATATCTTTATTAAAAATAAGGCCCACCAACATAAATGGTACAAAAATTACTTCACTTTTCTATAGTTTTGTCTTTATAACCCCACAATATTAAAACAAAAAACAAAGGAAATTGTAACATCCCACATCGCACAGGGGAATGGATCCTGTAAGCCTTATATGTATATTCCAATCTCTACCTAGCACGAGAACTTTTGGGAGCTCACTGGCTTCGGAGTTCATCGGAACTCCGAAGTTAAGCGAGTAGCGCGCGAGAGCAATCCCATGATGGGTGACCCACTGGGAAGTTCTCGTGTGAGTTTCCAAAAACAAAATCGTGAGTGCGTGGTCGGGGCCCAAAGCGGACAATATCGTGTTACGGTAGAGTTGAGCCCGGGATGTGGCGGGGGCCTGGGCCGTGATGTGACAATTTGGTATTAGAGCCAATCTCTGGCCGTATGTGTGCCGACGAGGATGTCGGGCCCCTAAGAGGGGTGGATTGTAACATTCCACATCGCCTAGGGGTGAGGATCCTGTAACCTTTATATGTATATTCTCATCTTTACCTAGCACGAGACATTTTGGGAGCTCACTGGCTTCGAGTTTCGTAGGAACTCCGAAGTTAAGCAAGTTCACGCGAGAGTAATCCCAGGATAGGTGACCCACTAGGAAGTTCTCATTTGAATTCCCAGAAACAAAACTGTGAGGGTGTGGTAGGGGCCCATAGCGGACAATATCGTGCTACGATGAAGTCGAGTTCGAGATGTGGTGGGGGCCTGGGCGAGGATGTGAAAGAAACTGTTATTAGCACTTCAAAAATATCATTCTACACTCCTTACAAGTGTATTTTTCTTTCTAATTATAAAAAGTTTGGAATGGAAAATGAGATTTTGGAGTGTCAATAACAATTCTCAAAACAAAAGAATATTATAAACCAATAAGTAATGCTAGGAGAGGTAACTTATTTAAATTACATTGGTGTGCTATGTGATATATATCTATATATATAAAGTGAGAGCTCCAGTTTGGTGAAGCTTTCAAAATATTATAAATTGCCCTTTAGGAATTTCATAAATTACAATTGAACCAAAAGAAACTAAAGTGTTTAACCATATTTTTATTTTGAATGAATTTAATATTTAAAATTATAGAAAAAAAATAAAAACAAAAACTCCCATGTTAGTGGATGGTTTCGCGTTTTTAATTCATTTCTTCGAGTTTCGTAGGAACTCTGAAGTTAAGCAAGTTCACGTGAGAATAATCCCAGGATGGGTGACCCACTAGGAAGTTCTCATCTGAGTTCCCAAAAACAAAACCGTGAGGGTGTGGTAGAGGCTCATAGCGGACAATATTGTGCTACGGTGAAGTCGAGCCTAGGATGTGGTGGGGGCCTGGGCGAGGATGTGACAGAAACTGTTATTAGCACTTCAAAAATATCATTCTACACTCCTTACAAGTGTATTTTTCTTTCTAATTATAAAAAGTTTGAATGGAAAATGAGATTTTTGGAGTATTAATAACAATTCTCAAAACAAAAGAATATTATAAATCAACAAGTAATGCTACGAGAGGTAACTTATTTAATTACATTGGTGTGCTATGTGATATCTATATATATAATGTGAGCACTCTAAAATGGTGAAACATTCAAAATATTATAAATTGCCCTTTAGGAATTTCATAAATTACAATTGAACCAAAAGAAACTAAAGTATTTAACCATATTTTTATTTTGAATGAATTTAATATTTAAAATTATAGAAAAAAAAAATAAAAACAAAAACTCCCATGTTAGTGGATGGTTTCACATCTTGAATTCATTTCTTCTTTTTTAATAATTTTTTTAAAATATGTAAATTAATTATTTAAATAAAAATATATAAAAAAGTCAATTGTCACGCGTATACGTATGGCAAGATGCTAGTGATAAGTAAAACATATGACTCATATCAAATGAGATAGAGTTACTAATCAACATGTATGCATAACTTATCACAATTAAAGATACGTGATACAAAAATGATGTATTCAAAACCTTTTCAAACCAATCTCTCACCCATCAAATTTATCTTTTTCTTCCTTCTTTCTATGAGTCGGCCAAGCGTTGAAAAAGAGTAATTACACTTATTACATTTTTCATACCATATTTATAGTATTTTATTAACAAAGATAAAATTCACCAATATAGATGAATTTCATCTTTATTAGAATGATGATATAAACGCAATAAAAGTATCATTTTTTTAATTTGAAAAACTGATATAATGAATTTCTTTTTAATTTCTGTTTTCTAGCTTTTTTGGCGCTGAAAATGAAAGCTTTTTGACTGAAAAGAAAGCTTGTTGAATGTGGTTTGCAGACCTACACGTGAACCGAGACAGAGACGACGAAGTCACGGTAACTGTCGGGTATGGCAGTTGCCACGTTAGGGAGACGTGGTGTTATATTCTGGTGTTAGTTAGCTGGACCCGCCAGTGATCGACGGTTGACCGTTCCTCTGTACGGCAGCTTGGCCCTACCAATCCCAACCGCTGCCGACAACGTTTGCTTTTTTTTTTTTTGGTTGGACAACATATCTTTAACCATATCTCTCCAAACTAAACAGAAATAGTTGTATTTTGATCATCTCTCCAACTAGTATCCCACTTGATTCTCGTATAAATTTGCGTAACATTAATCTAGCAACATGTTGATATGCTAAAATGATCAATTTTTCTTGGTGAGCAGAAAAACACAACCAGCTATCTTTCTCAACGTTTTAAGGTATTTCATCAGGCAAGATATATTTATTACCCAAGTAATTAAGAGCATTACTAGACACAAAAGCTTTGTGTTTGAATTCATGTCCCTAATACCGTTTATAAATACAAAAAGGTAAGTATTTTATTTAGTACCTTAACCTACTACATAAAAAAGATATTAGTAGACGAATGATATGTCAAAATTTTCTTTACATGGGACCAACCAGATACTTTTGTTTTTTCGGTTCACTTAATTTATTTTAGTTCACAATTAAAGTAAGTTAAGAATTCACTTTTAAAACTAATTAAATCTAGGTTGAGTAATCTAACTCCTTATTAGCCCATAGAAAGTTTGTTGTTTGTTTATTTTTTAATGTAAAAGATATCTGATTTGATTCTCATTTTTTTAAGGTCTTCAATATTATCCACTTTGAAAAGTAACGGAGTGGGCTAAATTTTACAACGAGCTAATCATTTAAATCTCATTTGATACTACTATAAAATTGGATTCCTTTTTTTTTCATGATAACATTTTTTTACGTGAATCTTGTGGACAATTTAAGTTTGGCGAAGGCTTCATCACATGTGGACAAACCTACTATGATATCGTAAAAAAAATTGAGGCTTCATTCAAAAACTAATTGACGATGAGGGTTGTGAACCCGAAGAATATTTAATCAATCACAAACATTGAATCAGTCAACATATTTGTTAGACGTTCAAGGTCGGAGTTTGTTAAGATAAATAGTTGTAAATTTGGATA